CCAGGGCGGGCGGCTGCCTGCAGGGGCAGGGAGCCACGGGCTGTGGGTGGGCCGCTCCGGGGTGACGCCCTTCCTGGGTGATGCCATTCTCGAGGGGGCCCTGTTCCCGGGGTGACCCTCTTCCTGACGGTGACCCTGTTCCCGGGGTGATATGCCAGGCGTGATGCTGAACATCCAGGGTGATTTGACGGCTGGGAGGCGGCTCTAAAGCTGTCACCACTCTTGGGGCAGTGCCACCCCTGAGGTGACAGTTTCCCCAGGTGACACCACTCCCCAGTGAGGCTATTAGGGGTTTTTTCCCCCTTATTTTTATATAATTTTTTTGTTGTTTTTTGAGTCGGAGTCTCACTCCGTCGCCCAGACTGGAGTGCAGTGACCGTTCCTGGCCACCGCAGCCTCGACCTGCCGGGCTCCGGCGATCCTTCCGCCTCAACCTTCCAAGCAGCTGGAACCACAGGCATGTGCCACTATGCCCGGCTCATTTTTGATTTATTGTAGAGATGAGGTCTCGCCAAGTTGCCCAGGCGGGTCTCGAACCCAGGCTCAGGCAATCCACTCATCTCGGCCTCCCAAAGTGCTGGAATTACAGGCTGAGCCACCGAGCCCGGCTTTATATCATTTTTTTTTTTTTTTTGAGTCGGAGTCTCACTCTGTCGCCCAGACTGGAGTGCAGTGGCCGCTCCCGGCCACCGCAGCCTCGACCCGCTGGGCTCCGACGATCCTTCCGACTCAGCCTTCCAAGTGGCCGGAACTACAGACGCGCACCACTGCACTGAGGTCTTGCCAAGTTGCCTGGGCGGGTCTTGAGCCCTCAGGCAGTCCACTCGCCTCGGCCTCCCAAAGCGCTGGTATGACAGGCTGAGCCACCGAGCCTGGCCTGATGTCACCCCCTTTTGGGTCTCGCTGCTCTGAGTGTGAAGGTGCTTCTTTCTGACACTCCACCGCCTCAGGGGGCGCCCCTGGGCCCCCACAGACCCCGGAGGTCCTGGTCACTCCTGGGGGGGAGTCCTCCCTGGGCCCTGAGCTGGCCTCCCGGAAGCAAAGGGAGGCTGGCTGTAAGTCTGGGCCTCAGGACCTCTCACCCCACAGCTACCTGTCGCACCTGGAGCGCATCACCGAGGAGGGCTACATCCCCACGGCCCAGGACGTGCTTCGCAGCCGCATGCCCACCACGGGCATCAATGAGTACTGCTTCTCCGTGCAGAAGACCAACCTGCGGTGAGTGTGCAGCCTGGCCTAGCCAAGGGGGCGGAAGAGGCTTTCCGTAGGCGGGGCAAGAGAGCTGGGGCCTTCAGGGATGAATAGGAGTTTCTTAGTCCCAGTCCTCAAGGTGCTTCCAAGCTTGGGGAGGCAAAGGTGGACATAGACACCTCCAGGCCCCTGTGTAGTCAGGCTAGGACCTGGAAGAGCCCAGAGTGAGGTGCCAGAGCTCTAGGAAGGGAGATCTTCCTGGAGAAGGGAACATTGGTATGGGGGTGTTGATGGATGAATAGGTGTTTGCTAGTCCTAACCCTTGAGGGGCTCCTGGGGAGGGGAAAAGAGAGACTACGGTCTACATATAGGGAGGGTCTTGGGCTGGGGGAGCTCAGAGGGTAGTCTCAGTCGTGGCCAACACCAGGGGATGGGTCAGAAGGGATGAAGTTGGACGATGGGAGGCTCAGGGAGAGACAAGAGCCACGGTCCAGGCAGGAAGGGCCGGTGAGGGCCGGGACAGTGGCCATGGGGAGTGTGGGGATTCGAACAGGACCCCCGCGTTCCTTGTCAAGGTGACAGGGGTGGAGCCAGCAGGGTGGGGCGGGACACGGTGATGGTGTCCTTTGATGCAGGTTGAGTCCGAGGGACCCGGGGGCATCGGGGAGGTGTCTGAATTCGCACACAGGCTGAGCTGGAAGTCAGGTGTGAGTGGCCGGGGCAGCAAGGGGTCATCCGGCACGCGATGGCCAATGTCAAAAGTCAAGGCTAGGTCAGGAGGACACAGGCAGAGAAATGACTCTGGGATTGGCAGTTAGAGGGTCATCGGTGACCTTAGCAAGGTCTCCGTTCATGGGCTGGTCGAGGGCGGCCAGGCGGTGCCCAGACAGAGGGCATCTGGGTCCCTTTTTTCCCTGGGTCCCCCGGACATGCTGTTCCGGCCTCTCCAGTAGTCCTTGTCAGGAAGATGCCTAAGTTGTCTGTTTAGCGGGGGTCTCCTTGCCAGACGGGGAGTCCCGAAGGTCAGGGGCTGAGCTGAAGTCTTGCCTCTTTCGTGACCAGCTCAGGGCAGAGTGGAAGTAGGTGAACGTGGGTGATTGGAAAGATGGGCGTGGAAAGGGGTGGATGGGTGAGTGGGTGAATAAATGAACAGATGGATGGATAGTGGATGATGGGATGGGGAAATG